ATTCTTGGCCATTAGTCTATCTTCTTTTGAAAACTTTCTTTTCATGACCTTTGCCCACTTTTTGATAGGATTGTCGGATTTTTTCTTGTGGATTTTCCTGAGTTCTATATAGATTCTAGTTACCAGTCCTTTATCATATGTGTAGTATGTGAATATTTTCTCCCATGCTGGTGGTTGTCTGTTTTCTCTCATGATAGTTTTCTTGACTGTGCAGAAGCTTTTTAATTTGATCAGATTGCATTTATTTGTTTTTATTGTTGCTGTGATTGCCTTTGGGGTCTTCTTCATAAATTCTTTGTCTAGGCCAATGTTTAGAAGAGTATTCCCAATGTTTTCCTCTAGAATTCTAATAGTTTCACACCTTAGGTTTAGATCTGTTACCCAGTGTGAGTTGATTTTTGTGAGAGGTGAAAAGTGTGGATCCTGTTTCAGTCTTCTACATGTGGCTATCCAGTTTTCCCAGCACCATTTATTAAATAAGGATTCTTTTCCCCAGTGTATGTTTTTGTCTGCTTTGTCAAAGATTTGATGGCTGTACAAGGATGATTTTATATCTGGGTTCTCAGTTCTATTCCATTGGTCTATGTCTCTGTTCTTGTGCCAATAAAATGCTGTTTTAGTTACTGTAGCCTTATAGTATAGCCTGAACTTTGGGAAATTGATGCCTTTCAATTTGTTCTTTTTGCTTGAGATTGCTTTTGCTATATGGCATCCTCTCTGGTTCCATAAAAAGTGTAGAATTATTTTTCTAGATCTGTGAAAAATGATGTTGATATATTAATAGGTATTGCATTGAGTCTGTAGATCACTTTGGACATTTTAACAATGTTGATTCTGCCGCCCCATGAGCATGATATGATTTTCCACCTGTTTACGTCCTCTGCTATTTCCTTCCTCAGTGTTTCGTAGTTCTCCCTGTAGAGGTATTTTACCTCCTTGGTTAAATATATTCCTAGGTATTTCATTTTCTTTGTTGCTATTGTGAAGGGTATTGAGTCTTTAATTTGGTTCTCAACTTGACTATTGTTTGCCTATAGAAATGCTACTGATTTCTGTACATTGATTTTGTACCTGAGACTTTTCTGTAGTTTTCTTTTTTTGTTGCATCCTTTCCTGGTTTTGGTAGCAGTGTGATGTTGGCTTCACAAAACATGTTTGGGAGAATTCCTTCCTTCTCGATGTTGTGGAATAATTTCTGCAGGACAGGCACCAGTTCTTCTTTGTAGGTCTGTTAAAATTCAGGTGTGAATTCATCTGGTCTGAGACTTTTCTTTTTAGGAAGGTTTTTTATTTCTGCTTCAATTTTGTTACTTGATGTTGGTCTGTTCAAGAATTCTATTTCTTCCTGATTGAGCCTATGGAGGCTGTGTGTTTCTAAGAATTTCTCCATATCCTCCATATTTTCCTGTTTATGTACATAGCGGTTTTTATAGTATTCATAGATGATATTTTGTATTTCCATAGCATCAGTTGTAATTTCTCCTTTTTATTCCTAATGGAGCTAGTTAGAGTCCCTTCTTTTCTGCTTCTTGTTAATCTAGCAAGAGGTGTGTCAATTTTGTTTATTTTTTCAAAGAACCAACTTTTTGTTTTATTAATCTTCCATATAGTTTTTTCTTATCGATTTCACTTAGTTCTGCTCTGATCTTTGTTATTTCTTTCCTTCTGCTGGGGTTGGGGTTGGTTTGCTTATCCTTTTCCAGTTCTTTGAGATGATTCATTAGATTATTTATTTGTGATCTTTCTGTCTTTGGGACGTAGGTATATATGGATTTAAATTTTTCTCTCAGGACTGCTTTAGCTGTGTCCCACAGAGTTTGATAAATTTTGTCTCCTTCATCATATATTTCAAAGACTCTTTTGATTTCCTTCTTAATTTCCTCCTTAACACAATAATCATTCAGCAGAAGGTTGTTTAGTTTCCATGACTCTGTGTAGAGATGAGAATTATTTAAAAAAATTAAATTTCTTCTGTGATTCCTTCTTTGATCAATGTGTTATTTAGAAACATTTTGCTTAATTTTCAAATATTTAGGCATTGTCCAGCTATCTTTATCTTATTGATTTCTAGTTAATTCCACTGTAGTCTGATGACATGCATTATATGATTTTTATTCTTTTAATTTTGTTACAGTGTATTTTCTGATCCATAATGTGGTTCATCTTAGAGAACATTTCATGTGATCTTGAGAAGAATGTTCATCTGTTGTTATTCAATGGCATATTATATACATGTTAATTAGGTCAGGTTGATTGATAGTGCTGCTCATGTCCACAATATTTTTATGATTTTCTGTTTGCTTGATCTGACAATTACCAACAGACTGGTGGTGAACTTCCCAACTATCTGATCCATTCTGAGTTATCTTTTATGAAGGTGTAAGATGTGTGTCTAGATTTCTTTTTTCCATGTGGATGTTCAGTTCTAGCACCATTTGTTTAAAAGACTGTTTTTATTTACTCCATTGTGTTGCCTATGCTCCTTTGTAAAAATCAGTTAACTATATTTCTGTGGATCTATTTCTGAGCTCCCTATTATGTTTCATTGATCATTTGTCTATTATTTTGCCAATGTCATGCTGTCTTGATTACTATAGCTTTATAGTAAGTCTTGAAGTTGGGTAGTATCAGTCCTCCAACTTTGTTCTTCTGTTTCAATATTATGTTGGGAAGCAAACATGATTTGCCTCTCCATATAAACTTCAGAATCTGTTGATATCCACAAAGTAAAATGCTGAGATTTAATTTGTATTGCATTGAATCTATAGATCAATTTGGGAAGAACTGACATCTTGATAATATCAGGGTTTCTTATCCATAAATGTGGAATATCTCTTCATTTATTTAATTTTTAAATTTCTTTTATCAGAGTTTTATACTTTTTCTCATATAAATCTTGTTCACATTTTGTTAGATTTCTCTCTAGGTTTTCAGGTCATGATTTGTCCTGTGACCTCATTTCGCTGATTGGTCCAGGAAAAGTCATTGACTTTCAGTCTGTTCGGTTTTTTCTTGCTTTAAAGTTATGAGTATCGACTTTCAAAGTCTTCACATGTTGAAAGTGAAACTAAAAATTCCAATTATTTGTGTAGTTGAAATATGTTATTAAAACTAAAACAAAATAAATACATACAGATTAATAAAGGAAATCAATGTGTTGAGCATGACAAGTTCTGGGAAATTCAAGTAGTTTGATTTGCTCCAGGTCATAGCATAGGTGTGAGAGAGGCTATGCATATGATATGATGAACCTGGATAAGTGGGCAGGGGTCTGAAGGTAAAGGTCCTATGCAGAATGTTACACAGAGTTGCATTAAATCATTTGTGTCTTATTCTTTTTAATGCCTTAGTATTTAGCATGATACCTAGTAAGCAGAAGGGTGACTAATGAATAATTACTGAATGAACAAGTAAATACAAGAAAGGAAATATAATTGAAAACCCACATCAAAATTAATTTAAATTGAAATGACACCTGCCATTTCTATTAAGGAATATGAAGGGATTTATTCTAGAATTTGCTTAAATAGTTAGCTTCCTTACTATATTTTAAAGCACTTAAATGTATAAAAATGTTCCTTTTATTCTTAGAGTTTCCAAATGTTGAGGCAGCTCTGCATTTAGATGGTGATTTTTAAATTTCAATTAATATTTATAGCTTCTTCTTGATGCTTCCCATATGAATAAGAAATTATTCTTTGGGTAATGTACCTGAAATTAACATTGACACTCAAATTATTCTGGTTTAATATTCTAAGTGCACTTCTCTGTATTTCCCGAGAGGCACAAGACAGGAAGCTTTTCTTTCATGTTTTCTTATCTAATTTTAGAAAGAACAGTAGTCCCTCACTACCCTTATAAAGTACAGGAACAGTCTTTTCTATTTTACTCTCTTAGTCATGACTTTAGCAACCTTCTAGGGATGAAAATATATATCCAAGTTAGATCTATCTCAGAAGGCTACTGAATATTTATCCAGGGTTATGATGGGAATTTTGCATTTTCTATTATTTTGGGATAAAAATGAGAGATACATCACATTGTGGAAATGCCTTCTAAATTTCTGGTATGAGGAAATTTATCAGGTTTTCTAAATTAAGGCTACATATAGCATAAGATATTAAATCACAGGAGATTCTGAGGACATTTTGGTTAATTTTATATCAGAGATAAGGGAAGTGAGGCTTAAAGAACTTCAGAGGGTTGTTCCCATCTGCAAAACTACCATGCTTCCCTGAAAATAAGACAGGGTCTTATATCTATTTTTCCTCAAGAAGACACCTTAGGGCTTATTTTCAGGGGATGTATTATTTTTTTTAAGTATGGTACAACAATCTACATTTATTCAAATATAGTTAAGTCATCTTCTTCTGGAACATCATCATAACTCTCCAAACCCTGAATTCCATCCTGAATTTCTTGTGACTCTATTTCCTTTAGAACCATTGGCCCTAATCTCTCATGTTGAGCAATAGAGCTCTCATGGGGCAGATGAGAAGGGCTGCTCATCTTCTCTACCACTCCACGACAAAATGCATGGGTTGTACAGATACGCTGTGTAGCCACACCCATCACTAGGTCTTATTTTGGGGGTAGGTTTTATATTGCACAAATGCTTAGAAATCCTGCTAGGGCTTATTTTATGGATAGGTCTTATTTTCAGGGAAACACGGTAGTTGCTGGTAGAATTGAAATTCCCTTTCAGTTTAGCAACTCTCCTCTACAACCCACTTTTCAATTTTTGAGGTCTGATTATTTTTGATTCTCGTAAACCAGAAGTATCAGTGCTATCCTAAGTTATACATCCTTGTTTGATTATACCAGTGTATGATGTCCAAATGCTTGGTGTCCTGTAGACCCACTTAAAACATCTTTTATGGAGAAATAGTGGAGAATTCCCCAGAGGGGCCAGAGGAAATTATTTTAGAGAAGTTCATAGATCCCCTAATGAACATGTCCATTTATCTCAGCAGGTTCATTTACCAAGTCATACCAAGTAGATGAATCCAACAAATCATTCCCAGGTGACAGAATTTGTTCTGCTGGGGCTCTCTCAGGTATGGGAGCTTCGGTTCTTCTTCTTCATTGTCTTCTCTGCTGTGTATCTTATGACTGTAACTGGAAATCTCCTTATTGTGGCCATAGTGACCTCTGACCCACACCTGCACACAACCATGTATTTTCTCTTAGGCAACCTTTCTTTCCTGGACTTTTGCTACTCTTCCATCACGGCACCTAGGATGCTGATTGACTTGCTCTCAGGCAACCCTACCATTTCCTTTGGTGGCTGCCTGACGCAGCTCTTCTTCTTCCACTTCATTGGTGGCATCAAGATCTTCCTGCTCACTGTCATGGCATATGACCGCTATGTTGCCATTTCCCAACCCCTGCGCTACACGCTCATTATGAATCCAACACTCTGTGGAGTTCTCATGGCAGCCTCCTGGGTCGGGGGCTTCATTCATTCCATAGTACAGGTTGGACTGACTATCCAGCTGCCATTCTGTGGGCCTGACAAGCTGGACAACTTTTATTGTGATGTGCCCCAGCTGATCAAATTGGCCTGCACAGACACTTTTGTTTTAGAACTTCTGATGGTTTCTAACAATGGCCTGGTGACCTTGATGTGTTTTCTGGTGCTGCTCGTATCCTACACAGCACTGCTAATCATGCTCCGAAGCCACTCACGGGAAGACCGCAGCAAGGCCCTGTCCACCTGTGCCTCTCACATCGCTGTGGTGACCTTAATCTTTGTTCCTTGCATCTACATCTATGCAAGGCCTTTTCGGACATTTCCTATGGATAAGGCAGTCTCTGTGCTATATACAATGGTCACCCCCATGCTGAATCCTGCTATCTATACCCTGAGAAACAAGGAAGTGATCATGGCCATGAAGAAGCTATGGAGGAGGCAAAAGGACCTTATCAGTCCACTGGAACACTGACCCCTGGATTAGCAGAGGCAGGGACCCAAGAATCTGAAAGATTTCCAAAGTTTTGGTTATTTAACTTGTTAAACGTTACTTAATCTACAATACTCTTCATGGATGTAGTATGGGAAAAGCATGACATTCAGCAAATCTATCTGCCATGTAGCACTAAGTCATTGTCCATTACTTATATTTTAGTAAATTAGGAGAAGCAGAATTGCTTCCTGCAATAATAACCAGCTGAGAAGGAATATTTGATACAAGGGCCTAAAGCATATGTCAGACTCCAAAGAATAAAGGCATAGGGTTAGAGAAAAGGGACTTGTGATATTGACAGAGAAGATATGATGGTACAGAGTAAATACTTGTACTTCAGTGGAAAAAGAATTTTGGGATCAGAATAGCCAAGTTAGAGTTCTCTCTCCATGCAGTTAGTTCAGCAGCAAGAGTCTAGTTCTATTTCCATTCTACCATGAACTTATAACAGGGTCATATGTTTGCTTATAAAAGGTCTTATGTGAAAATAAATGTAGCTTCTTTATTTTTTAACAAGTGATATTATTTTCCTCATGAGTGTCACCATGCTGGATAGTAGAGAAAAAATAGCTAAAATTTTGACAAATTTAGTACACTTACTTCTATGCAAAAAAAAGAGAAAAAAATCAAATAGTCCCTGTAAGTAAATGATCATTTTATTTAGAAAATAATTTGGTCCATTAGGATTCTACCCTCTCCCTCTTTCTAACACTGATCTCTTTTAAAGTGGTGTCAAAATATATGGATGGGGTGTGCAATTTACATGACTCAGGATGGTGAAGGAAGAAAGAGTTCTTATCTCTATACAGTGTCTTCCAGGTGCTTGGTGGTCTCTGCTGCAGAGTGGCTGATCTGGGCTGCTTTCTGGACTGGTGAATGGATATGAAAGCAATTCTATCTCTGAGCACCCCACTGACCCCTGATGCTAATATCTGTGAATGATACAACTCAAAGTTTGGTCTTCTGGTTTGGTCAGGGCTGGTGATGCTTTCATTCTAATTAATCTCACCTAAACTTTGTTGTGGATTATAAAACCCCATGGATTCTCTTGCACTTTCTCTATTCATTCTCAGCCAAGCCACAGGGCTCAATCACTTTACCCCTGGCCACTGAGAACCCCATGACCACCCACTATCTCTCGGCTCAGACTTCATCTGTGTCCTGCTTCAAGAGCATCTAGGATGTTGGATTCCATCCATACTACATAGAGGGTGGACCTTCCTTTGCCTCACCATCCTGCTTCTCTTCAGTGACTTTAATGTCAGCACATACAGCTTGTTTTATGAGCAGCCTGTGGGGCTCTTGCCTTCAAGCGGCCTCACTGTGAAGCAGGGAGAGGCCTCATGCCCTTGACATTCCCCTCAGGGTATCCCAGAGGCAGCACAGTAAAGGACTATCTGGACACACCTCTGATCATCTACCCACTCTGCCTCTGTATTCCTCTGTTTCCTCTTATTTCCTTCCTGTCTCAGCAGGACTTTCTTTAGGTAAAACTCTTATGTTCTAGTAAGTTTCTTAGGCTAGATCCTGGTGTGTTAAAAGGGGTTAAAGAGAAATAGAAAATCCTTATTTCTCAGCCAAGGTCCATATTTCAGGACTATTATCTTCATGAAAATGCTGCCAGACTCAAAACCGATGGGTGTCTTCTTTGTTCCTGTCCTCTCTCTCTTTTTTTTTTCTCTCTCTCTTTTTCTAGCATGAGCCTCATGGTGAAACTTTTGGAGTAGAAAGCTTACTGAATGCATGAGTTAAGGAGGCAGTTTAAATACTTTAGTTTATTGTTTGCAAAATATTTTCCTGTTATGCTACAAAATGGTTCCTGTGAACTATAAAATCAATGTGTCTTGGTAGAATGGCAGAAGTTCTGGAAGGGTACAGAGACGATTGAGGAATTAAATGACTTTTGCTTAGTGTTAGTGTAGATCTGACCTAAGAGCTTAAATAAATAGCCTTTGTTTGCAATGGGTTGTAGGAAGCTGAGGAATCTAAAGAGATTTATAATAATACATAGAAAGGATTTTAAGGCTGTTCGACAGATACTAATATGTCTGAATATCCTTTCTTCTAGGAAAGATAATGTAATTTTCTAGGATTACTTGATTTAGTTGATACAGCCAAATTGGCACAGCAATGGCCAAAAGATTGTCACCTTCCTCTTATTGTTCCTACAAAATCATTACTTACTTTCCCCAAAAAGATCATATGGTTCAAGCGGCCTAATGGGTACTGGCAGTGGTTGAAATGTAGGACAGTGGACTGATCTGGAAACAGGCTAACTTTCCATGCCAATTAGCATATGCAACTTAAGAGTCCACTATGTCCACAGTGTTTTCTGATTCTTCAAATGGCTTGCATAAGACATAGCGAAGTTTATTCGTCTTTCCAACAGTATGCAATAGGGCCTGCCTACTATGCCTCAGTTGTACATACTTAATGTACCCAATGTCAGATACTGCATCCATCCCTCTAGCTCTCTTCCTATTTATATCTACTCTCCATATCTTTCTATCATCTATCCATCCATGTTAGTACTGAAATACAGTGCTAGTGATGGTACTTGGTATCAGAATGTATTAGTAAAGTGTGTTTGAACAGACCTCAATCTAATCTAAGTTATTTCAGAATCATACAGAATCATTGATTGCCAGGGCCAAAAAGAACTTCTAATTATCTAAGTTAGGGTTACAGACATAGGATTTAGTGCTCCATAAACAACCTGAAATCGTATGTTAAGTTTTATGTATGTGTGAATTATTTGGAGGAAAGAGGTTATAGATTTTATGAAATTCTCAAAAAAATATATGATTCCCCAACACATTAAAAATCCCTGATTCAATCCCTTTGTTTTACACATGAGGAAGCCAAGGAAAACTGAGAAAGTGATTTCCACAAGTGCAAAAGCAAGTGGCTGCACCATTTTGACTAAATGGTGCTTCTTAAAATGCTCACAACGGAGCCCTGCTGACTGGCTCCTGCTTACCTTTCCATCCTCATATCTTCCTTCTCTTTGCCTCACAGTCTATTGTACTGTACATTTTTTGGTTCTCTCAATATGCTCATTGCCCCTCCGAGCCTTTGTGCCTGCAGCTCGTGCAGACATTCATTTTCAGGTTTGTGCACAGCCTGCTCCTGCACTTGTACACCCCTGAGAATGTGTGTCTCTTTAAGATATGTTCCCCGGACATAGCCCTCGGCTCACCCTAGTCCCAGCCTTGCCTGGCACGGTGCCTAAAACGTATTAGGTATTTAATAACATGTCTTAAATGAATGATTGTCCCTGAAGTTGGAATCTAATAGGCAGAATTTGACTTGGAAATTAGGCCTGTCTAAATATTTCACTGGTGTTGCATTCTTCCTTTATGAGATTCCTACAGAAGCTGCTAGTCACATTAAAAAAAAATAACAAACGAGAATCAAAGGACCATTTATTACTGCAGCCAGAATTGGATTTCCAAATATGGAGGTTCTGGTTAATCTTGTTTGTAATAAATACCCAGTCTGGTTGGAAGGCCTCAGAGGGCCCCTTACTCCCCTCTAAGCTCCAAATCTGAATCTCCATATGTTAGCATCCCTTGTTTGGCTTCACGGTACAGGAGACTGACACAGTATTAGGAGTGCATATTCACACACGAGGAGGAAGACGAGCAGCTTCCTTGCCTGGAGGCCACATGCTCACGTGTGCTCTCGAATCCAGAGATTCCCCCTCAAATGTGTCTTCACCAGAATTCTGAAATTTGACCAATCGGATGAACCTTCTCTGTGGGATGAGGGGGCACAAGGAAGGTTGTAGAGAGAAAAATGAAGTCTAAGCTCCATATTCCATGTTGCATATTCATGAAGACTGTCCTTGTATTATATAAGCTGAGAAAAGTGCAGGGCGGTGCCTGAGCCCTCTGAACTTCTAACACGTTTAAAAAAAAACTCCAGTAAACGTTTAATCTCTCACTTAAAAGGAGCATCTCCTTTGCGTCGTGACCCTCACAGTTTCCTGGCAGCAGTGGGCCTGGGCCATCTCAGGGCGTCTCTCAGCGCCTGCTTCACCTTGTCGTTGCGGAGAGTGAAGATGAACGGGTTGAGGAGGGGTGTGACGATACAGCTCAGGACCGAGGCGCCTTTGTTGAGCAGCATGGACTGAGCCTCCGACATGCGGATGTAGAGGAAGATGGAGCTGCCGTAGACGATGACCACCACCGTGAGATGCGAGGCGCACGTGGAGAACGCTTTCCTTTGCTCGGCGGCTGTGGGGGCCCTGAGAACAGTGGCAAGAATGCAGACATAGGAAACTGAGGTCAGGGCCAGCGAGCCCAACAACACCGTCGTGGAGAGCACGAAAGCCACCAGCTCCAGCAGGCGGGTGTCCCCACAGGAGAGTCTCAGCAAGGGCCAACTGTCACAAAAGAAGTGGTCAATACCATTGGGGCCACAGAAAGGCAGGCTGGCCATGAGGATGGTGGGGCAAAGGACCCAGAGGAACCCAGCTAACCAGGAGGCCAGCACCAGCTGGGAACAGACAGGGCCGCTCATCAGAGTCTCATAGTGGAGTGGTCGGCAGATGGCCAAGTAACGATCCAGAGACATGACGGCTAGCAGGAAGAAGTCGGTGGTGCCTAGGAGGAAGTAGAGGTAGGACTGCAAGATGCAGCTGACAAATGAGATGGCGTGATCCCCCGTGAGGAGGATGACAAGCATCTTGGGAACCACAACAGATACCAGCAACAGTTCCAGGAAGGACAGATTCCGCAGGAAGAAGTACATCTGTGTGTGCAGGCGTGGGTCCCTCCAGGTGAGCACAATAATTAGCAGGTTGCCTGTAGCCGTTATAACGTAGGTCGCCATTAGCCCCAGGAACATCAGGAACCGCAGGATGCTGCTACTGGGGAAACCCAGAAGGACAAACTCCGCTATCTGAGTCCAGTTTTCAGGGCTCATCTCCAGCCACCTGCAGGGGAAATGAAAGAGAGCTTTGTAACGGGTCTACAGCTACCAATCAT